TTATTCTATGAAACTTGAAGGAATAACAAGTCAAATTATCAGAAGATGAATCAATAAAAGTCAGTTTGTCATGGTTGATTGCTAACCTTTCTTTACCTATAAAGGGCAACTATATGCACCACTCATGGTGGACATACCCAATGCCACATGTTGGGAAATTTCTCTTGTCCTTTAAAAGAGCTCTTTTAACACTTCTTGGAAAATTGACTTCAAGACTATGAACTCCCTAATCTGTTGCCTGCCCATGAAGCTCTGTATTTTTCCTTCAAATCTGAATGATAATTTATCTGCACAGTAGCACTGTCACTGTCCTCCTGTTGTTTATCGATTTGCTCAAGTGGGCACCAGTATTGTCACCATTATGAGACTTGTTGTTACTGTTTTTGGCATATTGAATACTCCACGGGGAACTTGCCAGCTTATCCCACTCTGCCGTGTGGGTGGGATACTCTCGATAGCTTGCTGGGCCCTCTGAGAGGGATGGAGGAATCGAACCCGGGTCAGTCATGTTCAAGGCAAACACCCTATCCACTGTGCTATGGCTCCAGCCCAATTTATCTGAATAGAGTATTTTTCATGAGATGTTCATTTTGTTGAATTCTTGTACCATATCTTTCTAGTTCATAGAGACTATAGATTTGATAGATCTGTACATCTTATGGGCTTTCCTTTGTATTGTAAATTCCTTTTTTGATCTTGCTGCTATGAATATTCTCTCTATCTTTGTTTTGTTTTTATCTTGAGCAAAATGTGTGTTGCAGTTTTTCTCCTTGGGTCTATTTTTGTTGGACCCTTTGGGTCTCTTGCATCTCAGTGCCTATATTCCTCAGCTCTGAGAAATTCCTTGTCTTTTTTTTTCTCTACAAACATTAAAACTGGTTTATTAAGAAGAACGTGAAAATGTAAAATATCCCACATAGATTATACATATATTTTTTTTTTCTTCTTTTTCTCTATCCCCAATAGACAGCATTGTCTAACATGGTGGCAGCTACCACAGACTACCTGTCATTCTGCCTCTGCTATAATTAAGGCCTGTCCCACAGGCACTAGGATAGTCAGTGCATGGGACAAAGGGGCCCACCTAGCCCTCTTTTTTCAGTTCCCTGTCCAAAGTGGGTATGTGACTCTGCCTAGCAGAGACACAGACAGTTCAGCTGAGGCCTGCAGGCTAATCCTGAGAAGTGCAGAATGAGAACCTTACTGTGCTTCATTTTGGTACACACTTTGGCATTGAATATTGTTCTTTACAAAATTGATCCAGAGCATTAGATCTACCAGCCACTTGAAACACTGAGGATAGCAAATAAAATGAGCCAAGAACATCTAATGCCATTTTGTTTACCCAACTCTGGAACCTTTAATCTCCAAACTTTGTTATAAGAGATAAACATCCTTATTTCAAAAGTGATTGTTAGTCTAGTTCCCCATCATTTGAGCTGAGTACAATCTTGATAGAAGCTGTTTCTGTGATAACTGAATAAATGCCTTATGTTTATTTTAGTTTTAATGCAACTCTATTAAGAAGCAGATATTGTCAATTTTATAGACAATAAAGCTGAGTATAGGGAAAGTAATTATCTCCCACCCAACTTATTGGACTGGGGTGGCTTCAAACTTAATCCTGATTAAAGCTAACACTTTGTCACTCAGGTAGCTGCAAAACATGAATAAGCCTAAAGTTCTTTCAGTACCCTAACAAAATGCATGGACACAGATGCAACATGTAAAAAGTTCACATGCTTTTTCACTTATATTTGAGAAATTCTTACTGATTTCTTTATTGTTTCTTCATCACATTTGCCTTCCTGTTCTTCAGGAAGTCTGATGATTCTTTTATATTCTTATATTCTCTTGAACTTATCCCATAGTTTTCTGCTGCTGTTCATTTCTTTTCAGACTATTTTCCACATTCTGCTCTTTCCCAGTGTTTTTCTCCTTCTCGTCTTGGAGCTCTTTCCTTCCTTCCTTCCTTCCTTCCTTCCTTCCTTCCTTCCTTCCTTCCTTCCTTCCTCCCTTCCTTCTCCTCCCTCCCTCCCTCCCTCCCTCCCTCCCTCCCTCCCTCCCTCCCTCCTTCCCTCCCTCCCTCCCTTCCTCCTTTCCTGCCTTCCTACCTCTCTCCTTTCTGTTTTGCATCATACCTGGTAGTGCTTAGGGATCATTCTTGACAGTGCTTTGAGGATCATACGGGGAACCAGGGATTGAATCTCAGTCAGCCATGTGCAAGGCAAGCACTTTAACCCTTGTACTGCCTCTCCACCCCAGATAATTTAAATCTTAACCAGTCTAAAATTTAAGTTTTTAAAATTTATTTTTGGGCCACACCAAACTGTGCTCAAGGCTTATTCCTGGCTCTGCACTAAAGGATCACTCTTGGTCGTACTAAGAGCACCATATAGGGTGCCGGGTATCAAACCTGGGTTTGCTTCATGCAAGGCAAGTGCCTTACCCACTATACTATCACTCTGGCCTTAAAATAGCACTGTCCTCCTGTTGTTCATCAATTTGCTTGAGCAGGCACCAGTAACATCTCCATTGTGAGACTTGTTACTGGTTTTGGCATATTGAATACGCCACTGGGAGCTTGCCAGGCTCTGCCGTGCAGGCGGGTTACTCTTGGTAGCATGCCAGGTTCTCCGAGAGGGGTGGAGGAATCGAACCCGGGTCGGCAGCATGCAAGGCAAACGCCTTACTGGCTGTGGTATCGCTCCATATAAATTTAAAACCCCTTATTACAGAGCATCAAGAGATTCAGAGAAGCTAAATGTCTCACCCAATGCCAGCTAAAATATCTCAGACCTAGAAGACTATTAGTGTTTCATACTGCTCCATCCTGCCTTATTGCCACAGCTTTCTAGCTGCTCTTTCCTGAAGTCCACTCCTTCTCCAACTCCACTAGATCAGTTCTGACATTAGTGTCTTCTGAAGTTGACTGGATAGCTCCCTTGACACTAATCCTATAAGGGCTCTGAATTTCTAAATTTAACACCTACTCAGTTCCAGCCATTCTCTTTTCCTCTGCTGATCTTTTATTTTTCTATTTCTGCCTTGCCCAGTCAGGCTTACATCTTCATTTTTAGAGTCCTTTCTGCTCATCCCCATCCCAAATTTCATCATCTATATTCTTATTCATTACTACTAGTTGTAGTATCCCCTTCTGTCATGTTGCCTACTTTATTCTGAAAATGTCAGTTTTCTATACATATATATTGCTTCTCTGGCTGATCTAGAGAACAGTGATTTTTATCTTCCAACCTTATCTCCCATTAGCAATTAATCATTCTCTAATAGGTTAACTGTTGCCTCATCTTCCCAATTATATTTTCACTGTTTTCCATAGTACCTAATACACTGCTAGGGAGATAGCATTGTATTGGTAAATATTTCACTGCTCTGCTGTATGTTCACCTGGTTCTGTATGTTTAGAATTACCTTCTACATGTTTGTTTTATAGTCTACTTTCAGCATGCTTCTCTCATCCTGGGAGGATCCTCCCAGCACCCTTTATTTGGTTCTCCTTTCTCTATCTGAGCTCTCTTTTCCCCTAGAATGTGTGGCTGGCCTCCAAGCCATGGAGCAAAACTCCTTGTACTAATCTTGGCCACTCTTGGGTGTTAGTCTCCTATTTTGTTACTTTATGTTCTGAATGCAATCTTTCTATGTCTATCCCTCTCTTTCTGACTCATTTCACTTAATATGATACTTTCCATGTAGTACCACTTGTATGTAAATTTCATGACTTCATCTTTTCTAACAGCTACATAGTACTCCATTGTGTACATGTACCAAAGTTTCTTTGCCACTCAACTCCTCTTTTGCAAACCACAACACCCAAAAGGAGAGAGAGAATAAAAGGGAATGCCCTGCCACAGAGGCAGGGGGGATGGGGGGGATAGTGGGTGGGAGGGGTACTGGGACCCGTGGTGGTGGAAAATGGCCACTGGTGGAGGGATGGGTGTTTGATCATTGTACAATTGAAACCCAAGCACAAAAATTTGTAAATCTACAACTGTACCTCATGGTGTTTCACTAACAAAAAATTTTTCTAAAAAAGTGTAAATGATGGAGAATGGGCACTGGTGGAGGGATGGGTACTGGATCATTGTATAACTGAAACCCAAGCACAAAAATTTGTAAGTCTACAACTGTACCTCATGGTGTTTCACTAATAAAAAAAATTTTTTTTTAAAAGGGCTGGAGCGATAGCACAGCAGGTAGGGCATTCGCCTTACAAGCGGCCAACATGGCCGACCCGAGTTCGATTCCTCCGCCCCTCTCGGAGAGCCCAGCAAGCTACCGAGAGTATTCGATATGCCAAACACAGTAACAACAAAGTCTCCAATGGAGACGTTACTGGGCCCACTCGAGCAAATCGACAATCAACGGGAGGGCCTTTACCTTTACCTTTAAAAAAGAATTTGATGAAAACCACAAAAGAAAAAAAAAGAATTACCTTCTACAATAAGCAAAGGAGAAAACCTTAGGTGTATCTAACAAGATTCCCTGGTGGCAGAAGAATTGTAAAGAAGGTGCTAATGACTATCACTTCAGATGCTAGTGCCCCACCTACATTTCCTCAGGTGAAAGAAAGACAATTCATACTTAGTCTTGAAAGAGCAGAGTAAACAGCTCTAGAAAGACAGGAGGGGCTGGAGTGGTAGCACAAGGGGTAGGGTGTTTGCCTCGCACTAGGCCAACCCGGGTTCAATTCCCAGCATCCCATATGGTCCCCCGAGCACTGCCTGGAGTAATTCCTGAGTGCATGAGCCAGGAGTAACCCTTGTGCATCACCGGGTGTGATACCCCTGCCTCCCCCCTCCCAAAAAAAAACACAGGAGTCCCACTGAGACTCCCTGACCATGTCTCCTTTCCAGCACCTCCTCAATCTTTGGCAGCTTAATGCTAGGCATGCTCTCTGGGACAGCAAGGCCCTGGGAGAATCTCATGTGTGATCAGCAAGGTTGATTTCAAAAAGCAAAAAAACAATTGACCTGACTTACCAAATGAATAAAATGGCAGGGAATAATCTCTTTGGTAAGACGTCTCTTTATACCATGGTTCGACAGGCATCGAATGTCTTCGGAAGAAAATATATCGAACGAGAGTTTGTTGGTCAAATTCAGGTTGATACTGAGTCGTTCTCGGGACTGGAATTGACAAGTCTCTGTGATAACTAGATGAAAGAAAAACACTCACTTGGTAAAATAACAACAGTACATTTCTCATCAGCTGGAACACTGTAGAAGCAAACACAAGGCCACTTGAATGGTATTGGCAGGGTTCTATAGCCCCAAGGCTCCTCTAGCCAAGATTTCAGTAGCTTTCTCAAAAATTGTATTCCCTAGCAGACTGTAGCTCATGGTTAGTCAATTAAAAAAGAAAAAAAAATTGTACTCCCATTTTCCCATTACCATCCTTCCTCTTCCTCAGTCCTCTGTTATAGAAGGCAGCCAGCATCAGAATTTCCACTAGATCTGCTCATGCATGATTACTTCCCATACTTCAGATTTTTCTAGGACTATTTCCATTGCAATTTTTCTATGTTTGTTGGTTCTCTAAAGAAACTACTATTTTATCTTGACCACACCAACCACTATGATGCGAATTGATGTTTGATGAACCTGAAATCACCTCTCACTTTTCTTCAATTAGATGAGTTCTGTAGTAATAAATTATATGAGTACTTTAGTAGTAAAGTACTCATCTAATTGAAGAAAAGTGAGAGGTGATTTGGGGTTCATCAAACATCAATTCGCATCATAGTGGGTAGGGTGTTTGCCTTGCAAGCAGCCGACCAAGATTTGATTCCCCCGCCCCTCTCGGAGAGCCTGGCAAGCTACCGAGAGTATCTTGCCAGCACTGCAAAGCCTGGGAAACTCCCTGTGGTGTATTCGATATGTCAAAAACAGTAACAGCACGTCTCACAATTCGTTATGAGACATTACTGGTGCCCGTTCGAGCAAATCAATGAACAACAGGAGGACAGTGCTAAAGTGCTACTAATTTCCTTATCTTCAGTTAGATGAGTACTAATAGATACGAATTTTTTATGGAAATAAAACAAACATTACTAAAATTTGTGTTGAATCACAAATGATCCTATAGAGCTAAAGCAAACTTGAGAAAGAACAAAGTTGGAGAAATCATGCTTCCGGACTTCAGATTATACTACAAAGCTATGGTAATCAAAACTATGACATTTTAAAGATAGATAAATTGAATGGAAGTACAGAAATAGACCCATGCATGTATGATCAATTAATTATGATGAAGGAACCAGGAACATCAGTGGAGCATATACATTTATTTTTCAATAAGTGAAAAATTAAAACTGGATTTTTACATGCAGAGGAATGAAACTGGGTCCCTAATTTACATCATACAAAAATAACCAAAATGGATTAAAAAATTAAATATAAGATCTGAAATGTAAAGAGTTCTGGGAAGAAACAGAGAATGCCTGGATATTGATCTTACCAATAACTTATGGCTTTAACACCGAAATCAAAGTAAAAAATAAATAGGTGGAACTACAGTAAACCAAAATGCTTTGTCCAGCAAAGGAACCATTGACGAAATTTGAAGATAACTTAATGAATGGAAGAAAATATTTGTAAACCATGTCTGATAATGAATTGATATTAAAAATTCATAAGAAATCTGTGCAGATCAATAACAAAATGAGCAGTTCAGTCTAGAAATGGGCAGAATGCCTGAATACACTTTTTTTTTCAATTAAGACTTGCAAAGGACAAATATGTACTTGAAAAAGTGCTAATAATCACTAATAATCATGGAAAAAAGAAATTAAAGGCACAGTGAGATTTTTCTCTCACATACAATAGCTATCATCATTATCAACAAAACTAAACCCCAAGAATTAGTGTTAGTGAGGATGTGGAGAAATTGAAGCTGGCCCGGCCGCCTGCAAGGCCCTACCCGCTTTGCTATCTGTCCCTCTCAGAGAGCGTGGCAAGCTTCCAAGAGTATTCCGCCCACACATCAGAGCCTGACAAGCTCCCCATTGAATATTTGATATGCCAAAAACAGTAACAAGTCTCACAATGGAGACATTACTGGTGCCTGCTCGAGCAAATCGATGAACAACGGGAGGACAGGCTACAGTTCTACAGTGAGGATGTGGAGAAAAGAGAACTCTGTGTACTTTGTAGAAATGTAAATTGACCCAGCCAATATAGAAAACTTCTTGAGGTTCCACATATAAGTAAATATATGCCTTTCATGTGATCCAGCAATTTTGCTTCTAGGTATATTAGGTATTTATCAGCAGAAAATTAAATCACGATCTTGAAAACTATGTCATCATATTCATTGCATCATTGCATTATATTTGACCTGAAAATACCTAAATGCTCTGTGTGTGTGTGTGTGTGTGTGTGTGTGTGTGTGTGTGTTTCCAAATGGAAATTCTGTCATTTGTAGCATTAGGGATATATGGTAAATATGCTAAATGTAGAAAGTTAGACAAAGAGTGTATGATCTCATATATATGTGGAATCTTAAAAAATCCAAATTCATGTTGGAGTCCTTGGAGGAGATAGGTTGGTACATTGGCAATGGGTGTGGTGTTGGAGTTATGGTATGAAAAATATTATTAACAGTATTGTATTCCACCACAGAATCACACAAAAAACTATTTTAAAGAAAAAATCTCCTAGAATCAGAACAGGTTGGTAGTTACCAAGGTGGGGGTAGGGGGTGGTGAAGGAAATTGGTGAAGGTGGGCAAACATATAAACTTCTAGTTATGATATAAATTCTGGGCATGTGATGTGTAGCACAGTGATTATAGTTAATACTTATTATAAAGAATATTTGAAAGTTGCTAAGAGTAGATATTGAGAGTTCTCATCACAAGAAAAAACTTTGTAACTGATAATTGTTAACTAAACTTGCTGTGATGAGCATTTTGCTATATATACAAATAACAAACCATTTTGTTATATACTTTAATAGGACATGTCACTTAAATTTCTTTGAACTAGGGAAAAGGAACTAGAGAGATAGTACAGCGAGGATCTACCAGGTTCAATCTTTAGCAACTCATATTGTTCCCTGAGCCACACTAGGGGTGAGCCCCACACACTGAGCTAGGAATTAGCCCTGAGCATCCCAGGACTGACCCAAAAGTGGAGAAGGAGAAGTAAGAAGAACTTAAATATAATCATTTTGCAGTAGGAAGTAGTCTTACCCACACAAATCAGTGTGACCTAATAACTTGTACAAAAGTGATTGAAACTGCCTAATCGTCTCTGGAATGTTTACTTACTTGGGTTAAAAACTTGATTGCAAAATTTTCTTTTGATTTTGGGGTCATAATTGTTCTCAGGTGTTACTTCTGGCTCTGTGCTGGAGCATCACTCCCAAAGGTGCTCTGGAAACTGAGGTGCTGTGGACTAAACCTCAGTCACTTGAACCATCTCCTCTATCTCTTCCTATTTATTCTTAACTAGAAGTTTAACATATATACTTAGTACAGACTAATATTTGTATATTAAACTACTAGTGTGATATTTGCACTGTTTTGCCCTTAAGGTCAATATTCAGCAGGCACAAGTTAAGATTCTCTCTGGAAGAAGGACTATATTTAAGTGCAAAACATTAGAATTCTCTGAGGAATGTCAGAGTTCTTCATCTGCCTCACAGGCATGGGGAATGGGCCCTGTGCAGGTGTCCTTTATAGCCTGATTATGGGGTTGTCTTTTTTTTTAAATTTATTTATTGAATCACCATGAGAACAGTTACAAAGCTTTCAGGTTTAATTCTCGGTCATACAATGATCAAACACCCATTCCTTCACCAGTGCATATTTTCCACCACCAAGAACCCCAGGATACCCCCCATCCCACCCCTCCCCATGCCTGTGAGGCAGATGATTTCCACTTCTCTCTCTCTCTCTACTTTGATTACATTCATTATTTTGACAAAAGGTGCACCATTATTATTTGGAATTTCCCCCCAACAATCAGACCTGCTGAAAAGGCATCGTGAAATAATTTGTTTTCTGTTGCTGATTATGAAGATCATATGATTTTGGATTTTTGATATTTTACTAATTAAGTCTGGGGGGATTTCTGCCAAAAGCTGCATAGTTCCAAGATTGGTTTGTATGCCTCTGGGTCCATGGCTGAGCCGGAGAACCGATCATGGGGGAAAACTCGTAGTCTCGGCGGGGCAAGAAGGACTTGCTGGTTCTGCCCCCCCCCCCCCCCCCCATGAGGCTGCAGTTGCCCCATCACCGCGGGCTCATACCTGGCTGTCCAATAAGCTCTGAGGCAGCAACCACTATGCCGTGGGAGGGGAAAAAGGCTGAAGAGACAGGCACCCTTTCCCTGGGGGGGGGGGGGGCAGAGGGGGAGCGCATGGCACCATAGCTTAATGCACAGTCCATTCACATTTCTGCCCAAAGCGTCTGGGTTCCGAATTAGATCCGTGTGCCTCTGGGGCCATGGCCATGCCGGAGAGCCACTCATGGGGGCAACTCCTGGTCTTGGTGGGGTAAGAAGGACATGCAGGTTCCGCCCTATGGGGTTCTGTCTTGACTACACTTTGGAAGAGGGTGTTGTCCTAATGAGACTTTAAAGTATGCTTTTGAAAAGAGAAATAAAACTGCATTCTGGCAAAAATAAATAAAGTCTGCTTTTTAAAAAACAGCACAAATAGCCTTGAACAGATAATTTTATTTTTTTAATTTTTTTTTTAATTAAAAAATTTTAATAGTGAGACATCATGAGGTACAGTTGCAGACTTACACATTTTTGTGCTTGGGTTTCAATTATACAATGATCAAATACCCATCCCTCCACCAGTGCCCATTTCCCACCACCACGGATCCCAGTATCCCTCTCACCCCCACCTCCTCCCCCATCCCACCCTGCCTCTGTGGCAGGGCATTCTCTTTTGAACAGGCAATTTTAAAATGTGGATCAATGTAATTTTCAGTGTTCACACCAAACAATTGCACCCTCAGACAACTGCATCTCCTCTGGACTGCATTTTATTATCTAATTGGATTAGATTGTGATACCATGTGAAATACTACTAAAGCTACTTCCTGTTTGATTATTTATCAAGTTTGACAATATACTGCCTTGTTGATTCCTTGACTTCCTATTCTTTGCATAAAGGATAATCAGGAGTTGACTCAAATGCTATGAACAGAAGATAATTCGTAAAATTAACTCGATGATGAAATAAATAATAGCAATGATATGTCAAATGCTTGCTATGTTTGTAACATAAATTTTATTGAACAGATAAAACTATTTGGTATTAGAGAAGCAATGGAAAATGCACAATGTCAAACATTTCATGTCACTAAATCCTAGGTTTTAATTTGCAACCGCTGTGATTTCCAGTGTCCTTGAATTAGAAAATAATGTCAAAGTACCATTTTTCCCTTATACTAAAATCACATCCAGAAAGGCAGAAATTGCTTAAGTCAAAATCACATTTTTAACTGAAAAGGAAACTGAGTCTCAGGAAAGTTGAGTTCTTTGACCAAGTTTATATATTTATTTATGTGTAGAGTGATAGCACAGCAGTAGGGCATTTGCCTTGCGTGCAGCCGGTCCGGCCAAGCCGGGTTCAATTCCTCCACCCCTCTTGGAGAGCCCAGCAAGCTACCGAGAGTATCTTGCCCACACGGCAAAGCTTGGCAAGCTACCTGTGACGTATTCGATATGCCAAACACAGTTACAACAAGTCTCACGATGGAGACATTACTGGGCCCACTAGAGCAAATCGATGAACAATGAGAGGACAATGCTTATATATTTAAATTTTTCCCTTACACTTTATATAAACACTGTGGTTTACAGAGCTGTTCATGATTATTTGTTACAGGCATTCAATATTCCATTTCCAATTCCACCACCATTCCACCTTCCCTTCACCATTGTTTTCAATTTTCCCAATCGCCCCTTAAACTTGCCCCCATATAAGGCCCTTGGTAATTTATTTTATGTTGCTTGTTATCAATAATTTGCTAACAGAATGATCAAAAATGTTTTCTTAAAAGAAAGGGAAAATTGGTGTATCTACCATGGAGCATTAAGATCTTGTGTTAAGATTAAGATGATGTTACAGGTTAAGCCTTTTATGTTTATGTTTTGTTAATTGAGATTGGTTGCCTTCTGTGTTAGATCCCATCCAATATGGTGTGCTACTACTATCAGTATTGTAGAATTTGAGATGTTGCTACAGAAAGTTCAGAATTTTTATTTTATTTTTCAAAGGAATCACTTTGACAGTTCCAAAGCTTTCATGTTTGAGATTCAGCCATACAATGATCGAACAGTCATCCCTCCACCAGTGCATATTTTCTACTGCCAATGTCCCCAGTACTCCCCCCTGCCCTTCACCATCCCCCACCCTCCCACACACACCCAATCCCAGTCCTCACCCTACCTCTGTGGCAGACAATTTTCCCAATACTCACTCTGTCTCTACTTTTGGGCGTTAAAGTTTGCTCGAATTTTCCCACCACCATTCAAGCCTGCCTGCCAGGGGCAGACACTAGATAATTTATTTTCCATTGCTCACTTTGAATATCCTGAGAGGTTGTGAAAAACAAACTCCACTTCTAGAATTCTAATATTGAAAATGGATGCGTTCCAGAGACTTCTCTGTAGGGCACTAATTCATTTGGGAATAAAACTGGAAGTCTCTGGACCAGGGCTGAGATGGCGCCCAGAGGCAGATTGTGGGCATGACAACCAGGATTTCAAGTGGGCGGGAGCCAGGGAGGGACAGCCTGACTCCTCTGCCAACACTGTGTGGCCTGGAGACTTAGTCCTGGAACTTACCTGGAACCCGCCTTGCTTGTGGAAGCTTGTGGTCGCTGGGGTTCCATCTGGAACAGGCGGGGAGAGGGCACCTGCTCCATCTAGGGTGCACCAGTGAAATTTGTTTGGTATGGGGCCCACAGAGATCTCTGGCACTGTGGTGTTTTCCAGGACTCACTGCTGTATCTCTGAACCAGGACTGTTGGTGTGCTGAGATGGCGCCCGGAGGCAGATAGTTAAGAATTTTTAAATGAGTGATACAACTGGAGTTAAATTTTTAACTGGATGATGTTTTTGGGGTGTGTGCATAACTACAGGGGCTTCCAGAAGTATAGGGGCTTTGCAGGGGAGGTAGCCTGCCTGGAGGTTTCAGTCACAAAACCCACATACATGAATTTTTCAGTAGATTAACTTCTGGGTGAGACTCAGCCTGAGGTAGTGGAGTTCAGCCTGGGACATGGCAGTGATTATGGAGTGTGGGAGCTTTCCAGCTGCAAGAGCTCAGTTAAGACAGGTGCTGGACTCACCTACCCTCCTTTGGAATTCCCCAGACAACTCAGCCATGAGTGTGAGTGTCCAGAAGTCGTCTGCAATTTGTTGGTCTCCTTCAAGATTTATGAGTCTCTAGATCATGACTGGAAAATGAGCTTATATGGCACCAGAGGAGGTTTGTGGGTGTGACTCTTTGACCAAATTTCTTTAAAAATATCTCTTGACTGTTATTATTATCCATTTTTATTTTGTATATTATATATTTTATTTTTTGTATATTATATTGTGTATCCATTTTTTTCATTATCATTCTAACTGTACTGAAACTTTTGAAAGAGCGATAGCACAGCGGTAGGGCGTTTGCTTTGCACGCAGCCAACATGTCCGACCTGAGTTTGATTCCTCCACCCCTCTTGGAGAGCCCGGCAAGCTACCGAGAGTATCTCGTCCACATGGCAGAGCCTGGCAAGCCCCCTGTGATGTATTCGATATGCCAAACACAGTAACAACAAAATCTCCAATGGAGACGTTACTGGGCCCGCTTGAGCAAATCGATGAACAACGGGAGGGCCTTTACCTTTTTACCTTTTAGGATGGAGAAAGATGTCTCACCTGGGAGATTCCTGTCTGCTATAATCAAGATGAATTCTTGCCAGCTGGCTAGGGAGGTAGCCTTTGATGTCCTTTCCTTGATGAGGAACAAATAAACTAGTGGAGAAAGTGGGGAGATAATAAAAAATTAGTTATTACAGTAGTTTTTTAAAAGAAGAGTGCAAGTGTGAGTAACTAAAATCTATCTGGTCTTGTCCTGGTACAGAGTTCTTAAAACTCTTGGAACTTCTTGAGGACAGGGCGGGGTGGCATGCCACAGCCACTAGTTCTCAAGGGCTGCTCCCAGTGTTCTGTGCTCAGGGGTTGCTCCTGAAAGTACTCAGGAGACCATGGAGTTCCAGGAACCAAGAATTCTTGGAATTTCTTGGTAAAAGTGTCTTCTTTGTTATCTGGGATTCAACTTTGAGGATCTATAAGGAAATATTTGATATGTCTTTTATTAGGATCACAAAATCAGGGAAGAAAAAAGATACACAAAATCAGTGGCACTGGGGCATATATTAACTATTGTTAAAATACAGTAATGAGTCTGTAGTGCTTCCTTGTACCATTGTTTCTACTTGTGATGTGTTTACGAATGGCTCAATTTTTTTAAAACACTAATAAGTCTGGTGGTTAAAAATGAAGAAGCACTCACAATGGTCAAAGCATACAACTCTTGTAACCTGGAGGAATGACTCACCTCCACTTGGAATGATTAGATTGTGAGGAAGTTTTGGAACATAAGCATGAATGAAAGAGAAGAATGGGAGGAAGCAGTTCAGCATGCGAAAACAAGTTGGCAGGAGGGTTTGTATGTGCAAGAGGATGTGCTGTATTGGAGGGCATGAGGCCAGTCACTATAGGTGTCCCCATATAACTCTGTGTGCGTGTGTGCGTGTGCGTGTGCGTGTGCGTGTGTGCGTGCGTGTGTGTGTGTGTGTGTGTGTGTGTGTGTGTTAGCACCTGTCTGCTCAGAAGCACTGTCAATACTGGTTCAATACTTGGGAGTCACTGATAGTGCATGGGAGATCATTACTTCGACTATACTTTTTTTGCTTCTCTGGGATATATTCCCAGGAGTGGTATTGCTGGGTCAAATGGGAGCTCAATTTCTAATTTTTTGAGAATCGTCCATACTGTTTTCCAAAAGGGCTGAACCAGTCGGCATTGCCACCAGCAGTGAAGGAGGGTCCCTTTCTCGCCACATCTGCACCAATGCCGGTTGCTTTTTTTCTTTTGGATGTGGGCCAGTCTCTGTCCAACCAGCATTTCTTAAAAGTACATAATTTACCCTGAAGATTGCTAGGTTCTGTGGACTCAAAATTGTATAAGAAGTATTCCTTGTCATCAAAATGTTCTCAGTGCTTAAATAGTCAATGAAATATAGAGGGAGTTGGGAAGGCAAATAGAATAGGGAAGAATCCTGGTGAGGACTTCTGTGGTTAATAGAATCCAAAACTTTGATAGAATTGGGATCAGACTAGAATGTTGTGACGAGAGAAATATTTGTGGGCAGCAGGGACCTTGCTGTCTCACTCCTGTAAAAGGCAAGTGCTGTAAGCAGGGTGGATATGTCTGTCTACGCAAACAGGTTCTTAGGGAGCTTTGATTTTCTGAATAACACATAGACTGTCTGGGTCTGCCCCACTGCCTGGGATAGTATGACTGAGCCCTGAAGAGTAAATAGTAGCAGGGGAATTGACTCATAAAAAGAGAGAAGCACTGGCACAATTGGCATTTTGAATACATGGGAGTGGGAAACATCTTTCTTAGTCATCTCTCCAGTTTCTGAAGCACTGCCTTGGGAAGAGTCTCTCATACCCTATAATAGTTTACCACGAATACAGCCTCACTTCCCAAGCAACATTGGTTCCTCATAATTGCTTAGTATGTTTTGATCATGGATTCTTCATAGGCTTGCATACAGCGAATACCTGCTGAAGACAAGTGAGTATACTGAACAGTGCCCCTTCTAGCAGTCTGTCAGTGCCATTTTGAGAATGAAGAGATCTTTGACCAGCACCAAGGAACATGCCTGCCTGAAATTTCTTGAAGCAGTCTCGGTGGGGTTTGGTCCAGGAGTAGAGGAGAAGTGGGAAAGAGTGTAAGCAGGAGGGCTTTGGGGGGAATGAGGGCTAAGTAGAGCCATGTGAAGAATCGCACACTCTGCCCCAACTATTTGCAAGCTCCCTCGTGGGGTCTGCACCTTAGAAAAATCTCCTGCTGAAGAGGTTAACATAGAAGACCTAGCCAGGGATTTGACTGTCAAAATTCTGAAATAGGCTATAAAAAGTCCTCTCCTTCGTATTGGCTAGGAGCAGACTGTCTGACTACATCTTATTTTTCAGCTTATTATTTTTCATTCCATGACAGCTTGTTTTTTTTTTTTTTTTTTGAGATGTGTTTAGTCCAGACAAGAGTAAGCTTGTTCCCTGGGAAGGTAAATGTAAAAGGAATCCTTAGCCACAGACAAAATTCACACAGGAGGTCAGAAGTGTTCATTCCCCAAAACCTGGACTCAATCTGAGTTAAGCCACATGACTGACTATAGAATTCTGTTATATCTGTGCCTCATATTTTACAAAGTGTCTTTAGATATGAGCTGACATTACTATGGCTAACCTTGAAATGTAAAAAGCATTAATACCTCATAATAGGAGAGGAGACTACAGCTCAGAAGTCTAAGTGGACTTTCAAAATATCACCCAGCTAAAAAAAGTCATCTTTAATCTAGTTCTTTAAATTCTCTAACATCTATCTAGAACTCATTATGTGTACACAGATGACTTCTTTTCACTAGAGCTCAACACTATTTTTGGATAAACTCTGTTATTCTACTTATGAGCAGACAGGAAGTGAGCATCATTTGCCAAAGGAATAGGAGAAGAAATGGAGGATCCACCTCCCTTTTCTATGCCCTCTCTGCAGCCTTATCTCCCTGATGTTAGCCGCTTTTAATTCAACAAATATTGCAGGCTCTGATGAGTCTGCATTTATTTGTTGCTTGACCTCCTGGTAACTAATACTACCTGTGGATGTAGTCCTTATAGGAACATCCTGGTTTCCACACTCATCAAATCCCAGCTCAATGATAGGCTTATAGCATGGGGATGGAATAAGTTAACATTTGCCCCTGACATAATTCTTGCTATGAGAATTCTGTGTGGACACTGCTACTTATTAACCATTTAGTGTTTCATTTTATTGGTGTATCTACATTTGTAGTTCAATTGTCCCTTGAATTCCCCCCAAGATTTAGGCTTTTGAGTTAAAGGCATGTGGGAGAGGAGCAGCAGAAGGGCTGATGGTCCACTGATTATGTCACTCATCAAATACACAAATAACTGACAGAATTATGCTTTTCTCATTATATTCTGTGCATGAAGTAAACATTATGCACAGAAGACCTATCCTATAAAGCCATTAGCCTGACAGAGGTTCTGATAGTTGAAGAGGCCAACCAGTCCATCTCAGGGAACATAACATGGAGACTAGTTAAGTACTTAATTAAGAACATAGAAAGTAGAGTCAGATCAATTCATCTGTACAACTCGAGGACACTTACTTAACTTGGATCTTCATTTTTTCTCTGTACCCAACCGCTAGGTAAAGGTTAAATAAGTTCATACTCATTCAAAGTACTGCTTGCCACACAGCAAGAACCGCAGAAATGGAAGTTGTTTTCCAGACAGCAAGTAAAGAAGTAAATCATTTCATTAAAAATTGTCATAAAGATTCTAAAGGAAACCATAAAAGGGCATGGAAGTAGAAAGGTAGGCAAAAGGATATGACCTTTTTCAGTAGGGAGTAAAGGAAGAGCTCTCTGAAGGGCGGAGCAAGAAAAGCGGGGGAGAGAGAAAAATCTGAAGGAACTAGAGAAAGATGATAAGTGGCCTGGAGCTATGAGAACTCTGGAGAGACTAGGCTCTTGCAATTGAGTTTAGATTTTAAACAAAAGGCAACGGTTTGTGGCTTTACTCTATGGAGGGCTGTAATCCAGTTTGTATTTTACGAAACTCCCTGGGGAATAAGCTCTTAAGAGGACAAGAGTAGGAGTTGCTCTAGATTAGAAGGCATAGTAATGTGGGCCGGGCAGTAGAAGCAAAGTGAAGAAAAGTATTTCAGTGAGGGATATATTGTGGAACAGAACTTGTGGATCAAACCCACTGTTCCTCAAATACAGGAAGAGCATAAAGTAGACCAAAGTGTGGCCCTCTCTTGAGATTAAGGGTAGGAGGAGCAGGGATGCCAAGTCTTCTCCAGCACAGTGTGCCTGCTCTTGGACTCTGATAGAGAAATGTCAGAGAACTGAATCTACATTCCCTTACAGCTGACTTAAACTAAGTCATGTGACTCTGACTTGATTCCCCTGAGCTCCAAGATAGGAGCAGACAAGGAAAATTCGTTTCCAGAGTCCTCAGCTTAATAATATAGTTTCACAGGCCTGCCAGTAGGCAATTTGAAGCACAAATACACAAACACCACTAAGGGCCTAGGGAGAGGAAGAAACCTAGAAAGACTGTACCCCATTCCAATCTAACGTCCTACTTCCTCCTCGTCTGTAATTCCTCTGAAAAGAGGGCTCTGAAAGTATCTAGAAAAAAAGCATCCTTTCTCATCCCCTCCTTCAGTAATTTCTAGCAGCAACAAAACAAAACAAAACAAAAAAACCCACAAACCAAAAAACCACTGTATCTCTGGTGCCCTCTTTGGCCCCTCAAAATAAAACCTAAATGCTAAAGTAAATGAGAGACTTGCTCAACTTCAGGAAGCTAATGAGATTGCAAGTCTTAAAGTCATTTGCCCAAAGTTATTTGCTATGTGAGGCTTCTGCTTTAATCCATAGCATCTTAACCTGCAGATCTCGAAGACTGCCAGTCACTATCTTGTAGCAAAGTAAATTATAGCACAACAAAACATGCTTTTAGGACTTGCTATTAGGCCATTGGTGGAGAAAGAGTAAAACTCCAAGTTTCTGTCTGTGCAGTCAAAACCATACTACAGAAGCATGGGAGTCACTTTATTTTTTAATCCCAAGAGGGTAAAGGAGACCCCTCTAAGAGATGCAATTGAGTCATTCATTTTACAAAAGAACTTCCCAAGAAAAAACCCAAGAGCCTTTGCATCTTTGGAGAATTTGGTATTGCCTGTTTGCTTGAATGTGGCCATGAGAAAGAAATTTTTGATTTTGCTACTTCCCTCAACCCAAAGAAATTTTACTAGAACTCCTCACAACAGATGTTTCCATCATGGAGCAGCAAGGGGAAGTAATCCTAGTCCCCAGGTGTTTTGCCACAACTCTGAACTGGAGTAACACTACCTTGGTAAGGTCATTGGGCGCTGGTCAACAAATTTTCTCAGCTGCATGGCAGTCATGCTGGCTATTTTTCTGTAAAAGAGGGGGGGAAAAAAAAGATTGGACAGTTACATGGCAAGTTACATTTGTAGGCATTAGGTATATACTTTGTACTACAAAGTTTGTTTTAAAAACTGTACATCCAATATGGAAAGTATCATGCTAAGCGAAATGAGTCAGAAAGAGAGGGATAGACATAGAAAGATTGCATTCATCTGGGGGATATAAAGTAACAAAGTATGAGATTAATACCCAAGAATAGCTGAGATCAGCACCAGGAGGATTACTCCATAACTTAGAGGCCAGCCGGGTATCCTAGAGGAAAAGGGCAGTTCAGATAGAGAAGGGAGCACCAAATAAAGGATGTTTGGAGGATCCTCCCAGGAGGGGAGATGCATGTCGAAAGTAGACTATGGACTGAACATGTTTGCCACTCAATGCCTCTTTTGCAGACCACAACACCCAAACGGAGAGAGAGAACACAGGGGATTGTCCTGCCACAGATGCAGGGGGGGATGGGGGGATGGGGGTGGGAGGGATATTATCCATGGTGGTGAAAAACGGGCACTGGTGGAGGGATGGGTATCTGATCATTGTATAATTGAAACCCAAGCACAAAAAAAATTGTAAATCTACAACTGTAAAAAAATAAATAAAAAAAAAAACTGTACCTCACGGTGTTTCACTAATAAAAATCTAAAAAAAAAAAAAAAGGACTGGGGCCAGAGTGATAATACAATGGGTAGGGCTTTTGCCTTGCACGCGGGCAACCTGGGTTGGATCCCTGGCATCCCATATGGTCCCCCACACACCGCCAGGACTAATTCCTGAGTGAAGAGCCAGGATTAACCCCTGAGCAATGCTGGGTGTGATCCGAAAAGCAAAAAAATAAAATAAAGCAAATAAAATAAATAAAAGTAGGACTCTGTAGCTACTACTTAACTAGTTAGGAAAATAATTATACTTGCTTTGGCTGACCTTGGGACAATATATGGTCCTCTGAGCAGATCCCTGAACACAGAGCCAGGATAAGCCTTGAGGACAGCCCGATAACCAAACAAAAACAAAACTAGAGAGCTAAGTATGAATTAATTTCTTCTGAATAAAGTAAAGGCCCTCCCGTTGATCATCGATTTGCTCGAGCGGGCCCAGTAACGTCTCCATTAGAGACTTTGTTGTTACTGTGTCTGGCATATCGAATACTCTCGGTAGCTTGCCGGGCTCTCCGAGAGGGGCGGAGGAATCGAACTCAGGTGGGCCGTGTTGGCTGCATGCAAGGCAGACACCCTACCCGCTGTGCTATCGCTCCAGCCCTGAATAGATGTACAATGTGGTCCTGGAAGACAGAAATGAGACAGGGCATTTTCTTTCTTTCTTTCTTTTTTATTGTTGCAAGGGATCTCATTTTTATTTTTATTTTTATTTATTTATTTTTAATTTTTATTAGTGAAACACCATGAGGAACAGTTGTAGACTTACAAATTTTTGTGCTTGGATTTCAATTATACGATGATCAAATACCCATCCCTCCACCAGTGCGAGACAGGGCATCTTCTGCTTTGACTTTTTTCCCTGAACACTGGTAAGGTATGGTATTTTCTTTAGTAGAACCCCAGTATCTAATTAACAGCTATGAAAGTGTCAAGAAGCATTTGTGTGAGGAAGAGAGAGAGAGACTGCAGTGGGTGAGGTACTTGCCCTACACTGATCAGGTTTGAATCCCTAGCATTCCATGATTCCCCTGAGCCCACCAGGAATGATCTCTGAACAAAGAGCCAGGAGCAAACCTGAGCATGTGGTCCAAAACCAAAACAAACAAGCAAAAAACCAATGGCTTTGGGGACAGTGGCTGAAGTCTGTTTTCCAACAGAAAACACCAATTTTGAAAGCCTGGAGAGAAAACTGCAGGGGCAGTGATAGTTATTTGTGGGAAAAGATCCTTGAGCTTAGTTGTTCTAGAAGTAAACCCCTGATTTGGGTATAGAACTACTTCACTGATAGGTTAGTTTTGTGGGTGTGTTCTAGAAATTTCTGAGGGTCCTTCCCAGGAATCTTTCAGTCCTTCCCTTGGTTTTGTAAGTACCTTCATTATCCTTTCTGTATCTTAAACTAACCCTGGAACTATCCTTTCCCTGGAACTTATCATTATCCTTTCAAATCCTTTCTGCATCTTAAACTAATTCTGGAACTTTAATATAAATTATATATTTTATCATTTAAAATTTTATCTTGCATCTGATTATTAACAGGAGAATTTTTGCTATAGAAAACTACTACATATAAATACTCACTTGGGAAAGAACAATGGGGAGGAACACTGGGTGGCTGGGGGCAGAGGGAGGAAAAGTCTGTCTTTTTTATAGTTTTGAATTTTGTCTTTTGTATATGTTACCTATATAAAAGACAGCTGGGCTTTGAGTTGTATAAACATTGTGAATGGAGCAATAGGAGAACAATGGGCTGAGGTCCCTGCTACCCTTGCAAGCTATTTCTCAGAATGGATTGAATGTATTCACACTATTCCCAGCCCCCTGCTAAATTCATATGGAAGCCCTAATCCCAATTCTAATGTGATGGCATTTGAAGGTGGGGCCATTGGGAGGTGATTGGATATAGGGTGGAGCCCCCCAGAATGGAATTAGCACTTTTATGCAAGAGATTGTATGGCAGAGCCTGGCAAGCTACCCGTGGCATATTCGATATGCCAAAAACAGTAAGAGTAATCGGCCTCATCCCCTTAACCCTGAAAGAGCTTCCAATATGGCAGCATTGGGAAAGACAAGTAAGGAGAGGCTGCTAAAATCTCAGGGCTGAGATGAATGAGATGTTACTGGTGCCCACTCGAGTAAATCGATGATCAATGGCATGGCAGTGATGACAGTGATACAGTGAAGCAAGAGATCTCAGAGAGTTCATTTTCCCTCTTGCCACCACAAGTGATAATGTGAGAGTTCAACAGCACACACACTAGAAGATCACTCTCACCAGCAAGGACCTTGGCACTCAAATCATGAACTTGCAACTTCCAGAATTGTGAGAAGTAAATGCGAACTCCCCAGTCTATAGTAATTTTTGATAGCAAGTAATTATATCATAAATTTATGATAACAACCCAAAGGCACTTGTTTGTGGACTAATGATCTTAGTACCTCTCTAGAGAATTTGGTGAGGCAGTAACTTGTGTATTGTCACATAAAAAGCACTTTAAATTTTTTTTTTTTTATTGAATCACTGTGAGAAAGATCCTTACAAAGCTGTTCGTGGTTGGATTTCAGTCGTAAAGTATTCCAACACCAAAAGCACTTTTGAGAAAAGAGAATTATGAGTTTCTATAAATGAGCATATATGTGATAGCACAGCGGGTAGAATGTTTGCCTTGCATGCGGCCGACCCGGGTTCGATTCCTTCACTCCTCTCAGAGAGCCCAGCAAGCTACGGAGAGTATCCTGCCCGCAGGGCAGAGCCTGGCAAGCTCCCCATGGTGTATTCGATATGCCAAAAACAGTAACAAGTCTCACAATGGAGACGTTACTGGTGCCTGCTGGAGCAAATCGATGAACAACAGGAGGACAGTGCTACAGTGCTATATTGTATGTTAGGTAACATGTGTTTACTTGTATTAATCTCCCAGAAACTCTCCCATTTATTATCACTATATTAGTGACAAGATAATGAAGGTATTAAGAAGTAAAGTAACTTGTACGAGGTCACTGAAGAATTAGGATCGGAACTCTGGCTTTAGAAGCTACTATGTTGCTACTCTGCTCTATAGCAACAACTGCAGAGCACTTGGACCATTAGCTAAACAAAACTAGGCCCCCAAAAGCAGTAGCCAGGAAGGAGAAAGAATTAGGGAGAAAAGTGTGTGGTACCTCCCCATCATTTCTTTTAAAGTCACAGTGTGTTAACTCCTTGTCCACAGGCCAGCTAGCTGTTTAATTTCAACTCAGTGTTTTTCAGGCAACTTGAAAATTTTCTAACAAGATGAAGTTACAACAGAATATTTTCGCTAGCAAATAGAACTAGTTGTTTAACAAAAAAGTACTTTTACTTTTAGCTCTGTGCTGATAGGTGGAAAACAAAGAAAGTCACAGAAGAGAAAATGTATGTAAACATAACTGAGCTGAGTGAAAGCTTTGTGACTACTTTTTCTTTTAATTATTATTGAGGTTTCATGATCTATCATCGTATTGATACCACTCTATAATATCTTTGGCAGTTACTGCACCACACCCCACACCAGATTACTGGGATTTTAAGTGACATGCTGGACAGAAGAATGAACCATAGTCCAGATATTTGTGCTCTGAACAGTAACAGCACCAAGTGTGCCTTTGATGATAGCGTGATTGCTCAGTGCTCAGAAATTCTGAATCAGCATTATGGGAAATAAAGCAGTCCAAGGTTTCCATGCTTTGACCATATAAAAATATTTTCAAAGGAACATATTAACAACCAACTTTGAGTCTAAACCTAAATGACTAGAATAATTAGGAGGACATGTCTGGGAATGATTACAAAACTGTCTCTCTTCATTTTTAGATGATTCCTCTTTCATGAATATAAAGGATACCAAATCATATCTTGGATTTAGTTACCCCTTGAAGACATAAGATGTAGTTTGTAATAAGATATGTCAGTACATTTTATTTTAGTCTTAACAAATAGTGTTACAAAATCTAAATGTGATAACTAAATCATGAACACATGTTAAGCTTACTGTTTCCTTACAGTCAACACTTTAACTGCTGTTCTTGGCACCATGAGCAACATAACTTTCATCTCCTATATTAGTTGTCTTGATAGAAAATTTTCCCTCAGATGTGCTCCATATTTTTTCAGAACAAATGAAAATTCTATTGTACCTTTTGTTCATTCTACCTTTTATTGAATTTTATATTAACTCTAAGAAAACTTAAACCTATCCTTTTCCTTTTTTTGGTGGGTAGGGGAGATGTTGGTCCAGTGACTGTGGGGCTTACCCCCAGTTCAGCAGTGTTTGAAGACCAAAAAATGTTGG